TGATGGATGAAGGATGATGGATGATGGATGGATGATGGATAGATGACCGACATGACCAGCTTCAAAATATGAAGCTGAAGTAAAACAGCTGGTGGCTGTCTGCAGTAAAGGTCATAACACCACCTCCTCCATGTTAGCAGATGGGACATGGACCAGGTTAAATAAACGGCTCAGAATGACGTCAGTGGGAGGAAGTGGACACTTGTCGTCCATCTTTATCTACAGTTTATGATTTTAACTTTTTTTTTTTTTTTGCCTAAACCTGAAATCAACCGCATCCTCAACCACGTGTTTCTTATCGTTGCCATGACGACGGAGGTCCGTCGTGTCCGAGGGGGAAACATGACCTTTACATGGACGTTTAAGTTCAGGAGCAGTTTAGCAGAGATCCAGAGACAGTTGCTCTTTCCACCAGAGATCAGAACACACTGTTCACCACGATGTCACCGCCGTCACGGGCAGCCAGAGAAACGTCCCCCTCTCACACTGACTCCAATCTGTCTTCACACGAGGACACTTGGACAGCATATCTGAGTGTGTGTGTGTGTGTGTGTGTGTGTGTGTGTGTGTGTGAGGGGTCCAGGTATTACTCATATAGCGGGGACTGTAATCTGCTTAAACGTCCCATGTGAAGGACGTGTAAATCATAATACGTTGGCTCATCAGTGAAAAAGATTACAGATGATTTATTTGATATTTAATAAGATTTGGGCATCAGGTCAATCCTGGAAACAATTATTATTTTATTCTATAAATTTTTTATTTGCATTCCAACAACAGTTTTGAAGTAAATCTATTCTGCTCTTATTCAGGTCGATTTTAATTATTACTTGAAAACACGTCACATACATCGCTTTCCTCAAACTGTCCATCGCTGCAGCTCCTCTTTTCAGCCTCTGTCTCAAACACTTGGTTTTAGCTCCAGTCTGCGACATCACGATGATGCAGAAGTATCGTAAACACAAACTGAAACTGAGCTGCTCATCATGAAAACAACCAATAATCACCAAACCTCCAGAAATGGCCTAACTCCACTAATCTGGGAGCAACACACACCACACACACACACACACACTGTCTGGAGGCTGCTGAGCGACCCCCAGCACAGACCGCACCTCAGCTCCCAGTCTTTATCCACTTGACGCTGATGAGCAGCAGTGGAATCAGCAGCACTCAACCGCCCTGGAGGAGCTGAACCACAGGAACAACAAGGAACACACACACACACACACACGGCGCAATGACAGAAACTCCTCCTCTCTAAGAACAAACGATCTACATCGAGGGGCCGTGTGGTTTCATGTGAGGCATCGATAACCGGAGCAACTAGAAGATGCATCCATGAACATTTTAAACAAGAAACGTTAGCTACCTCCCCCACAGGACAACAGTGGGAATGCTGCTTATTTGTAAAGGCTCGGTGGACCAGACGTCTTCTCGCGGGTCTTCGTGGGGATAGGACAGATGGACATTCCACAGATGGACATTCCACAGAAACTCTTCCTGCACAAACCACAGAAAGCAGGAGTTACTATCTATGTCTGTCTTCGTTGGGCCATGTAGACCACAAAGGCCGAACTGAAATGAGACGATCTGGTCTCTTGGCGAGCAGACCTGCTGTTGGACATGACGAGAATGCTTTAATGCCCCGTGGTTCGCCGAAGTGCAAGGGAAGAATCCACCCGTTGAATCCTTTGTCTTTCGAGGAGCAACGGATGCATTGGAGGGAACTTTTGAAATGGAACACTCCGCTCGCGCCGGTCGGTCATGAAATGCAGCCTCTCAAGGACGCAGCCTCCTGAATTGAGACGCAGCTCGTCCCCCTTGGACAGCTTCACTGTAATGATGAGGCTTCGGCACGTTAACATGGCACGAGCTTGTTCCCCTGTTTACCTCAAGGGTGTGGATAAGACCCACCACTGAAACATTTGGCAGCGAGCACAAGCAGAGCCGAAGTATTGGTAATGAAACTAAAAGTTTGTCATCAGGCTGAAACAGTCACTCAGCTGCGAAACCGCATTTTTCATGATGTCCTTCTTTTGCCAATTTGGCCTCATGATGCAAACAGTCCCTGCACCGAAACTGCATCCGACTCGTTCGTTTTTGAAGAGGAAGACATGAACTGATCCGTTTACACCAGCAATGAGCAGTGCACATCAAACCCAGGGGGGGAAACCTGTTTTACATCACACACTGAAACATGAGTCATGTTCCTCCCTGACTGGTCCGGGGGACGAGGGGAGAATATAAGTTGAAATATTTGTTTAATTTCTCGGACGAGATAAAACTCAGCAGCACAAAGAAGCAGTGCGAGAGGAAATATGGTGAAAAATGGAAACAGAAACCAAAAACACAACGTGTGCATGTTAAACACAGATTGTTTAGATATTATGTGACAAAGTCCGTGTATCAGCGAACCTGCCGAAGTGCTCTTAAGCAAGACACAGACCCTGAACCTCAAATCTGCGGGTGAGGATCAACACAGAACCAACACAGCATCAGACCCAAAAGTTATTTCCTCTGATTAAGTCACATCTGCCTCATCGCTGTCGAGTGGCAGCTCCGTCTATTTCTGTGGACGTCTGATGTGCACAGCGGGCGGAGGGAGCGTGCATGTGAAGCAGCTGCACACACACACACACACACACACACACACACACACACACCAGAAACCTGAGCTGGTGACGGCTCGGACCGTTGGCGGTTATTTTAGTCGTCAGACGCTCAGTAGACGCACTCGGCTTTGTGAGGACGTGCGTCAGACACAGAAATGTTTTGCGCGACTCAGAAGATTTGTTGGTTTTCCAAACAACACTGAACTCAACATTTACTTATTAACATTTAGTTCAATAACAGAAGTATTTAGTTTTCTTTAGGGTAAAATGTATTTTGTAAATAACGGTGATGCAACAGTGCAAATGTTAAGAAAACTCAAAAGTTTGGATTTAATTGAAGAGAGCTGAGCGGGGGTGCAGCATGTGGACACAAACCCCTGCAGAAATGATCTGTAGACCCCGTTTCTTACCCCCCCTGCGTGGCCACCGCTCTTAAAATCTTGTGTTTTGTTATATTAAATTTAAAAGTATAAAGCTGGTTACTTTACAAACTTATTATTGAAGTATTAAATTATTGAATTCAATACTTTCCTATAAAAAAGTTAGTTCTCTTAATTTAAGAATAGGAATTTGCAGCGTTTCTTTTTTACAAAGGAGGAAGGTTCAATTAAATGTAAGTGAACTTCTCATATGGCTTTGATGAAATGTCTAATTCAATTCTGTTTAATAAGCGCTAACGACCTGGTGCTGCTAATTAATCGTTTGATCACGTATTAAAACCAAGTGACAGCCTGTCAATCAATCCACTGTAACGTGGACGCTTTGATTCCACTTTCTCCTGCGCTGATTATAATGACTGGAACTAATGAGCGTTTCCAAAGCAGAAACTTACACCAGTGTACATATTACATAACAAGTCATATAAGAGGAACCCACCAGGGAATATTCAGTGCGAAATAAACAGGTTCATTAGTTCATTTCTTTCCTTATTACAATATTTCAGATGCAGAAACAGGAGGAGGCTCGTCACTGTGGGGTTTGGATTATTATTCAATCATTGCTGCTTTTTGATTCATGTAGAAGAAATACTTTTTAAAGCATTTAATACATTAAGACACGATATAATTATTTAGTTATAAAACATTTCATCGAGACACTGTCATGGTTACTTTCTATTTGATTTGTTTAAATGTTCATGAGTTATCCAATATTACTGTTAGTTCTCTATCAGCAGTCAATATTGGAAATATTAAGACATATTAAAGGGGTTGGTATCGATGAGTGTGTCCAATGTCGTGCAGATGCAAACAAAAATCGAGTTTAAATGTGGTTTCATAAACGTCGGAGCTTTTTCAGCCGGTGTACGGTAACAAATCAGGGTTCGATCCATAAATGCGGCCTCAGTTATTAGGCTTGTTTTAATCTAACTGGGCCTTGATGGAGGTATGAGCTCTACTGAGCGACTCTGTCGTGTTATTTATGGAACACCTATTTCAACATTATGTTCAAATTGAATAAGTTCATTCTCCTGAATAACTTTGACTTTTAAAAGCCTCCTGAGAGTAAAGATTTATAGCCGCTCTGCTTCCACAGTTAATCAATATCAAAGTCAGGTCACGAAACAAAAACAAGAGCAGATCGTCTGTGTGCGAGTGGGAAAGTTGCCTGTGAAGGCAGCTACTTTATGAAATTAAGTGAAAATGAATCATAATCCAGGATTTCACCCTCACATATTCACAAATACACACAGAGACTAAAATGGCTTCAGCTGCACAGACACAGACCAACACCTCACATGCTTTTAATGTGACCCACAATTTAAGAATTCACATCTACGTGATCCAAGCATCAGGTACTTAAATGAAAACATCCCCATATATAAATACACGGTGAGCACATGCATGCACACACTGTTCCTCCTGCAGCGAGCTGACTCACAGCAGAGGTCTTTTATTTGTGTCTAAGGACGGAAACCTCCAAGTCACCGAAAACACTGGGCACCTGTTCCCTGGATCCCACTGGAAGAAATTCAACTCCCCAGTCACTGTGTGTGTGTGTGTGTGTGTGTGTGGGGGGGGGTGTCAGTGACAAGAATGTTGACACCAGCCTTTCATGTCTCACGTGGACATCACTTCCTTTACTACCCTTCCCTATTTAAAGGCCCGTGTGGAGCCAGACGGGCTTCAGCAGCGGATTAGAGCCAAAGTCCTCGCACTCTTCACACCAGCGGCTCACCCACTGACCGACTGACGATCTTAAAGAGGCTCTACATGTTTTTGTGAAGATCCATCGCGGCTATAAAGGCTGAGACGTGTGGACTTCTGTTCGTGATCAGCTGGAACGTTTGGACGAGTTTCGAGTCCGGATCTGGAGCCAAAGGAAGCTGAAAATCAAACGGAAGCAAATTCTGTTCGCTTCAACTATTCTTTATTAGCTCATCTTGAAATGTCCGAGAACACAATTTGAACCTTTTTCCGGTTGATTCAAAGTGTTTGAAGACTTTGATAACAATCAGAGCTTTTTACATTGACCTCTTGGACCTGGCTAACTCCAGGACGATTGACAACTTACTCTTTTTAGAATTTGTTTCCAAAGTCCTGGAAAAAACCTAAGAAAAGTAAAACACCGATTTCTGGAAAAGCTCTCATCTGGAATCCTGTCACGATGAGTAGCGGAGGCACCACCACAGCTTCACCACAGGAGCCTCAGGCTTTCAAACGAGCTGTGCGGAAGATAAAATGCGCAGCTATGGTGGCCAACTTGGCGAAGAGCTGGCAGGGATGGGCCAACGAACACACAGACAAGCAGGATGCTATCCCGAGCGGCTGGATGCCTTCATCTGTCGAGGACGAAGACGAGAAAGAACGCAAGCATCTGGTCAAACTTACCGTCACCCCACGTGTTATCGCAGTTGACGCTTCCGACAGTAGCGGGAAAATTAGGACCTGTTCTGTCACCAAGACCGTCCAGCCAAAGCGCAGCGAGTGCAGCAGCACTGATGTGTTAAATGCCATCCGCGGCAAGATGGAGTCAGGTCCCGAGGAGAGCAAGCCGTTCTTGGGTAACGAGTCACCGACACGGCGGCGCCAAATGAGGTTACTACAGAGCGCAGGAAGAGGGGTCATCCAAGACAGGAAGCTGATGCTCCAGGAGACGAAGCTGGGGTCCAGGAGCAGCAGTGTGGACACAGAGGACAGTGGACTGGGAGAGGAGGCCGGGCTCAGCGACAACAGTGAATTCAAAACCGACCCGGGTGACACTCAGTCCAAGAAACAGACCAACAAGCCCAAGGTAGAGTCGTTAATCACAAATGATACAGATTGAAAAAGTGAAATATACTGATCTGTTTCCATCAGTGGGATAAAACAAACAGTGATAAGCAAAATACATGCAACCCACCACCCAGTACCTTATTTACAACCTGCCCCTGTTTGTAAAATAACCAAGGTGAGAGAATAACAGAGTGATGCTCATTATGTAGTAAACCACACGTCACTCCAAACTAAAATAGACCTCGTATAGCCGAGGGCACGACATGGCCAAGGCCAAACAGTCTTCATAAGTCAAGCGTTTGCTAAAACCTTCGACAGGATATGGATACGTTTCTCATTCTGCTGCCCCCAAGTGGCCCAAAAATAACATCAATTAATAACTGATAAACATATAACTTCAGCTAGCTTGATCAAGATGGGTCGTAATTTAATTAATCATCTCCTAAAAGTCCTCGTTATGGTAATTTTGGCGTATTAAATATTACGCAACCGAAACATTATGACATTGAACCCTGACTGTCCTGTACCAAATATAATTTCCCTGCATTGACTTCTACCTCCTGTAGCTACGGGCTTAACTGAACCTACGGTGAACGTCCTCTCCAAATATCAACGGAGCTGAAATAATGCAGAGGGATAAAGCAGCTGGAGGCATTTTTGGTCATTTGTCCTTTCGAAGTGTGGAAAGACAAGTGAAAGTGACGCCATGACAGAAAAGGCCAAACTCTTTTATTTCTCTGGCTTACGTCCAAAAACCACTTATTTTCTGATAGAGGTCATTTGCGATTGGTCCTTTGCGCATTGGCGTGTTGTTAGACACAGGCTTATGGAGGAGATGGTATAACCCGGCATAATTACCCTTTAATTACGTTTTTAAGTATGAAGCAATCTGTCATGCACAAGTTTTGACAAGACCCGTACGAGGCCCTTCTGTCTGCGTTCTACGATCACGATAAATGTTTCGTCCGTCCCTGAATCAAACACAGTGGGGAGCATAAATATTCCCACACAGTCTCACAGCGTGAATAAACAAGGTAAAGCAGAAGTCCCTCTGATGTCACCTGAAGAAATCCAACTCCCTCACTGTTACCAAAAAACGTTGCGTAGCTCCGGGACTCAAATCTCTCCTATAAAAGGCAAAGGAAGCAGCCGGGGGCCCGCGGCGTGTCACCGGGGTCGCCAGACAGCGGGTCCAGCTCATAAAAACACAAGCTGTCCTGCAGCGCAATGGAATATACGCAAATAAATATAGTCGTGCACTGCGACGTGTTTCCCCCCAACCTGACCTTCAGGTGGAACAGCCAGCAAAGGGGGGGGGGCGGACCGGGTGAGGGCGAGAGAGCAGTGAGGGACATGAGAGAGAAAGAGAGAGAGGGACTTTCAGACAACTAGAGCAGTTAGGACAAATATTAGACATTTTATTGTATTAATTGTAAATGTAAAATGAATCACACTGACTTGATAAATATATTGACCAGAGGCAGTGCTGGGATATTTAAATGATAACACTCTAACGTTAATAAGAAAAAGATGGAGAAAGGGCTGTGAAGTATAACGTTGGCCTGTGGCAGAACTGTTACTGAATGTGCAGCCGAACTTTGTTTTTACGACTAACGCATGTTTTTATCGTTCAGGATGAGCTTATTATAGCAGAGTACTTTCTGAGGACATCCTGACGCTCGGGCTGATCACAGGCAAACAAACAGCAGCTCTGCACTCTGCTGTTGTCAGGGTTCAGTGTTAAAACTGGCTGCGTGTTGCTGGGAATGAGTTTGAGAAGGAAGTTTATACTGAAACATGAACGTGTGACATGAAACGAACAAGCCACAGCCTCATCTCAGTTTATCCCGCTAATAGAAGCAAATTAACACGAAACAAAAAGTAGTAAGTAAAAACATATATATATATATATATAAATATATATATTTATATGTATATGAACATGATCACTCTAAGGGTTCACAGAGTTTCGTGGAAGGTCCCACAGTTACAAGTCTTCACTTTTCATAGACCAAATACCAAGGAGATCTGATGACACTGCTCTGAAGGCCTGGCAAGCTGAGGAAAATACTGAGAGAGGGGGAGGAGGGAGGGAGGGAGGAGAAGAAGACATGAGCAGAGAGAGAGGAAGGAGAGAACAGAGAGAACAGAGTGGAAAGGAAGAGAAGGGACAAAAAATCAAGGGCAATAAGAAGAGGGTGATTTTGATGAATGAGGGCATGGAGGAAGATGTGAGGAGGGGAGAATGAGAGGATAGAAAAAGAATAGATTTGTGTAATGTTTGAGCACGCAGGCTAATATGAGCGTGAATAATTTCCATTAATATATATGTGCAAAGCAAAGGTCAAGCACGGGATCAATTACACTAAGTTGAACTTTAAGTTTATTTTAAGGCGGAGGGTCATCAATCAATATATTCATACACAGCTCTGATACTGCAGCAGATCTGAAAAAGTAACAACAACAACCTACAGATCAGCAACATGTTCGAATGTGCGCAATGTTCGAAGACGCTGAAACTATTTCGTCAGGGAAAGTCGCAGCGAGTGAAAGACTGAAGTGAACATTTGAACTTGCCAAGATTTCCTGAATCCTACAGTTCCCAGAGTGCAGCTTGAGAAAATGTTGTGACGTTAACCTGAACTCCGTCATTTATTTTTCTAGATCAAGATCGCCACGATGGGCGACATCAAAAGCCGCTGGCAGCAGTGGTCCAATCAGCACATGGAGGGCCAGAAGCTCAACCCCTTCAGTGAGGAGTTCGACCACGACTACGCGATGGCCCAGCGCCTCCGCAAGGGCGACTCCGGCTACGGTCGACCCAAAGATGGTTCTAAGACGGCGGAGAGGGGCGACCGGGCCCAGAAACACATCTACAGGGAGATGGAGGAGATGGTGTGGATTATCAGAGACATGGGCTTCAAAGATAAAGAGGGGAGGACCGTCATTAGCTTCGGCCGGCTCTTCGACCGCTACGTGAAGATCTCGGACAAGGTGGTGGGAATCCTGCTGCGGTGCCGCAAACACAAGATGCTGGACTTTGACGGGGAAATGCTGTGGAAAGGACAGGACGACGGCGTTATCATCACACTGAGGGACTGAGGACGGATGTGACATCGTGCAAACGTCCGAAAACAACACACCGACAAATGAACGCGGCCCGAGAAACAACAAAATGAAAGGCGACATGTGTTTAAGAATATTTGAGAGAGACATAAAGAATATTGTTGTGATTTTTAACCCTAATCCACAAAAGACACGCAGCTTCTAGAACAAACTGGAAGGAGATTTGGAAAAAGCAAAAAAAAATCAAAACACACAATCTAAAAACGTCATACTTTAAACTGCTTAAATGTGTAATATACATATAAGTACACATAAAGTACTGTCAGGACATATGAGTGTGCAGATGTAATCTACACTCTTTCCAGACCCATTAGTTCTTCTCATATACCTGACAGGTCATCCGGTGAAGGGAAACTATCCTTAGCATGCTAACCATGCTCACCTCGCTAACTATGCTACACGCTACACGGCTTGAGAATCCATCACACGAGTCACGCTGGAGGCTCAGCTCTGAAACTCACGGTTCATGTCATCTCATCGATCACCCAAAGTTTTCTCTTTAATTTAGCCTCGATTTGAATATTGAGACGTTTAAAGTTTTTTTTTTGATTGAGTTAATGACAACGAGGTCAAGACAAGTTACGATCAAAGTTTATTTGTCTTCGCACCGACTTGAATGTTTCTCACTAGCAGAGCTTAAGTCACATGATTGAGCAAATATCTACATTTAAAATAGGAAAATTAAAGTGAATATAATTTTAAAAAAACACTTTTGCCATTGTATGTATATTTAATATGTTAAGTTGAGAACAGTGATCTGTGAATTTACATGTATGTCAACTGAGTGAATCCTTGATGTGTGATTGTTTACAAGAAATATAATTGTGAAATATTATTTACCTCATTTTGAATTTCGGACACACTTCAAATCTGCATTTTGCTGCCACAAGCTCACCAATAATAATATTAATCATTTAGAGGCGACAACAATTATTTTTCTGTGGATTCTGTTTTCACAAATTTTTAAGCAAAACAAATTAAACAGTGTTTCTGACAGATTTTAAATTAGAGGAGCCTCACATCAGATTTACACTGAGCTGTGTGTGTGTGTGCTGCAGCAGTGAAACAATGTTCTACCTCAAAGTTTGAATGAAATGATTCATGGGTTATGACATCAGACGTTACGTTGGATGCAGTAATGCTGTTTGAGGACGACCCTTCATCCTGAAATAAGATCAGGAACAATTAAAGAGGTTGTTAACAGCTGTAGCTTTAACTTTGTATTCCAGTGAGTTAATGCTTATAGCTTCTTGGATGCCTCCCCAGTGTCCTCATTTTCTGATGTCACTGCTGCAGTGAATTATGGCCCATTCACTCTGAAAGCCTACAGGGTTGCACACTCGCTAAAAAAATCCTTGGGGGAAGTCTCCAGAAGTTCATGCCAGAGCCCTTAAGCGCCTGCTGATGCTGCAGTGAGACAGTCTTAAGCTCTGGCAGACTTTGCGGCTGTCAGTCCAGACTCAGTTGGCAGATCGCTGAGCTTTTTTCACTTTTCCTCCTCACTACTCCCACCTCTGCGACCGCCGTGTCTCCCAGAGGAGACGGGGGGGGGGGGGGGGGGGGGGGGGAGGGGAGTGGTGAGGGAGAGCAGAGGCCGTCTGAGACATCCCAGATCTCTGCCGTTGATTTATAAGATGTTATATATTTAATGTTTATCACCAAAATCTATTATCATTAGGACATTTAGGAGGACAGAATGATATCCGGGAAAAATATAAAACAAGAGAAGTGGAGGATATTAGAGAAGAAAAGACGGCGGAGTAGCCCGGTGCTATATCTATATTTCCTCCTTATGTACAAATCTAATTACCTGAAAATACCACATGACAACACAAAGACGAGAAGCGTCTGTCTCGTCCTCTGTGGTGTCAGTTTTTTACTGCAGGGAAACACGCTGTTGTTAGAATTATAATTTCCCCCGTGGACTAAATGATTTACAGTTTGTCTCCATTTGCATTTGCACCATCTGAAGGCCCCTCGCTGCTCCATCCAATTTTACTGTGTGAATGTGTCTCTGTGTCTTTGTGCATGTAAGTCACACTAGGGCAGCGTGTGTGTGTGTGTGTGTGTGTGTGTGTGTGTGTGTGTGTGTGTGTGTGTGTGAGAGAGAGAGTGAGTGTGTGATGTGGTAACTTATCCGTCTGTCAGTCTGCACATGCTTCTATATCCATCCAGCAGTGGACCTGCCAGTCGTTAGACATTTATAAACACTGGACTGCTGAGCCGACATTCTGAAGATCTCTGTCGGTTGTGTTGTGAATCAATGTTGAAATTATGTGAAATAAATTGAAGAGTGTCAAAATGTCTGTTTGATGTAATTCTGAGGTTGAAACACGTTAAAGCTGAATCAGAATCAGAAGCATTTGTCTGCTTGTTTGAATCTTTACGGCACTCGTGATGCAGCTCGTGCTTCACGTCTCACCTGTTTACGTCCCGGACGTGTCAAATCCTCCCGACCTCCTGGTGACTGAGGGAAAAATGATAGAAACAGGATCGTAGTGATGTCACGGAACGATTCACTATTTCCAGAAATATTCGTCTGTGTGTCACATGTCTTAGAAAACATTCTCTCCTCAGCTTCACACAGTTTGGTCGGTAAAGCCTGCCCCCCCACCCCCCATTGGTAAGATAGGTGTGTGTGTGTTCGAGAAATTAATACAGATCAGTTCGGTCGCCAGGGAGTCTTGACGTCTGCCAAAGAGAGAGAGAGAGAAGCAGGGAGAGAGATATTGTGAGTGATGTGGAGAGAACGAGAGACTATAAGAGAAATAAAGGAGAGAGAACAACAGAAAGCAATGTGGAGGAAGAGGGTGTAGGGAGTGTATTCCATCAGCACAGGCCGAAGCTTCATACTCGCTCGTCCTTCGCTGTCAGACAAAATGAATCCCTCCTCTCCTCGGCTTCTCTCTCCGGCTCCCGTCTCATTCTTATTATTGTGTCTTCCCTCCTCCTCCCCCGTGTCTTCGCTCTGTTCTTCCTCCCGTTCTCGTCTGTTCCCGTCAGAGTTCTGTGGGTTTTTCAGTTCAGCCGCCTTGATCTGTTCTTTGCCTTTAACTACCCATGCATGTCCTCGGAAATGAATTCCATGCACTTGATTGTAGAGTCAAGCACATGAACAGTGGGGGTGTGTGAAGAATACGTAAATAAAGATGGACGACATGTCTCCACTTCCTCCCACTATCCAGAAATGAAGCCAGAATAGTCTGCGCAGTATCGATACCCTTATTTTAACGGGTCTCCTTCAGATGAGTCAAATGATGTTACCGCCACAAACACACAATAAAAACTCACACTCGAGCATCTAATGATGGATTTAACCGTTTTATTGACAGCTGAAATAGAATAACAATACACCAAATTGTGCATTTACTCAACAATATAACAGTTTTTTCCAAAGAATCTGCAAATATACTGACAGAATGGTGAGTAAAACTTAAAGTTACACAAGTTTGCTTCTCTTCTGATAACATTCAGGTCCTCGAGGCTGCAGAACATGATCAACAAATGGAGAACGATGCTGCTTGATGCTGCGTTAACAGTAGTTTCTGTGGACAATCACTGATGGGATGAACAGTGTTTACTTGTCAATGGAAGTTTGAAATCGATCAACCGATGCAGCAAAGTCATCTGAACGAACAGCTCACACTGAACATGACAAACCAAATGTCAGGTGTCGGTGAGAATAAATGTTTTAATATGATCTGGATTCATTTTTATATAACAACATTTGCTTTCAAACATTCCTGTCCGCACAAACAGGGCCATGAATGATCATATCCCAAAACCTTCATTTAATCTGAGGGGCCTCGGGGAGATGACGTGTTTCAAAGTGTCCTCAAAAGGCCTCAAACGTTGGTTTAGTGTTGTCGATTTTAAGGCTGTGAATGCTGAAGATAAAATGGCTTTATATCGAAGGAGAAATCACGAGGAGGATTTGTTGTGGCTGGAGCCCAACGAGTGTCGACACCAAACTGAAATATGAACTCACAGCAAAAGGTGAAGGGTAAATGTATGGGGGCGGTGTGGAGAAACACAAGTTACAGAACTGCATGGCACTTTGATTCCCACTGGGGTCACCCAACCTAACAAAGTGTTCTCTCACGTTAATGTGGAACACCTCGGATGAGACGATGGAGCAGATGGCGTGCGAGGGAAGCTTGTATTAGAGTTGGGGTTTCTTCGAGGGGAAAAAAAACAGCACAGCGGACCGGAGGATCCAGCAGCTTCTCTTTCATCCTCCCACTCCTGCACCTCCTCCCCAGGAGAGAACATGATATGTGTCTACAAATGTGTGGCGCTAAAGGAAAAGGACACAAACAGTGCACGCTTTCCTCCTAATTATTAAAACCTACGCACTTATCAGGAAAAAAACTTTTAGGTTGATCTTCTGCAAAAACAGGCCGAGTGACATTCGCTCTGCGGGGGTCCACTGACCACAGAAACATGCTGGATAGACAGGCAGCGGATAGTGAATGGATGCTTTCCTCAAATCTACCCTGAGTTGTTCCACTCGGCCACATGTGGAACCTAATGCTTGTGCTGTTTGGACCCAAAAATGCAAAAGCACCAGGACGCCTGAGAGACGTGTTCATTGAGAGAGAGCATTGATGGAACTGGAAAAGATTTTTGGAACATCCAGTTTGTTCATGTTTTTATCATTATGGCTGTTTTGGATTAGTTTTGCTTCTGTGTTTATCCTGAACACGTTTGTCTTTATCTATTGATTCAACCGTACATTGACCAACATCCTCCAAACTGAGTGACCGTATATCCGAGGTCGTTCCTTCCTCCTGATACGACCCGTCGGACGTCTCCTGAAGTATCGACAGGCTCAACGAACCTCTGTCCTCGTGGTTACAGTAATAAGGTTCAGGTGTAGGAACAGCTCTCGCTCCTTTAGATTACGGGACGTCTGTTGTCATGGTTGCAGTATTGAAAATGTGTTGAGGAACAGTCCCGGATAACAGAAACAATTGTTTGTTGTTTACACCAGTGATAAATAACGGTCTCCTGTGTGAAATTACTGTGATTTGTTGACGCATCCATCGAACACAACCCTCCTCCTGCAGTTTGTTGCTCGTTATAGAAATTCTCCTTTGCTTTGCTCTGCTACGGGTCGTAACAAGCTGCTGCACAGACGAGCTGTGCACAGACAGTCTAAGAATAATGTATGAGGGGCGCAAGGTTCCACCGTCTTTTACTGGAATCTGTTTGCTACAACAGCCACGTTGTTGTGCACATGCAATGTTATTGGAACATTTTAGGGAAATACTTATATATGTACATATACACACATGTATATCTTATAAAGTGAGTGTAAATGTCTGTTTTTGCAGAATGACGACCTAAAAGCCTGTAAGGGTTAAAAAAAAAAAGACTCCGACAGATCTTCATTACAATTCTTAGAGATGGCTGGATGTTTTTTTTTCATTGCACTCTACTTGATTGAAACCACATGAGACCATTATGAGCATTTAAACATCAATAAAGAAAACAATAGCATCATTTTTCTAAGTTTAGAAAATAAGTCTGTTAAGAAATAGAATCAGAATCTTTGACTATCTAAGCTGCAAAACCTTCTTTTTTTTTTTTTTTTTGCTCAGTTGGTTAAATTAAGCCCACACCAAAGAGTCTGTTGAAAAACCTGTGTGTCAGAAATTCATTCAGAACATTCGCAGAGTAAAACGTTTCCATCGATGACTTGAACTACTTTTAGCGATGGGGTGAAACGGTGACACTGTAAAACTTTTTTTTTTTTTTTTGCGTGCTTTCGATTCACTCTCACGTGACATTTCTTAGTCCTTAGCCCTGACAAAATGTATATCTGTGTGTTTAAGGCCTCTACTTACATTACAATTGACAGAAGTGGAAATAATAATTAACATCCATGTGGCGGATACAATCACAACATGGGGCAATGCAAAACCAAACAGAAACATTTACATTTCGGTGCCGATCATCGTTTCCCTTCAAAGCTACGAATCATCGTCTCGAACAAACTCAGACAAGTGAACAAGAAGCTGCTGAAGAACAAAATGACACAATCAATTTTAGTGAACAAACATTAACGCGTAACACGATGTCGGCATTCATTAACTCTCTGTAACGCAGTCGGAGAAGAAGATGGGTCGGCGTGTACACGTCTGTTCCAACATCTGCACACGTAACCATCGTAGACGACCCGTCGCTCACTGCGTGCATGCTCATACTACTGCTGCCATGCTGCTCCGCCCCGAGAGGAACTGTTAAGAAAGTACTTTAGATGGTATTTCATTTTTATAAAATACTTTTGCGCGTGTAATAAAGGCAGCTGCTGCAGGTTAGATGTCCGTAGATGGGAAACGTCTGGGATGGTTACCACTGTTAATTCACAAAAACCCTTTCATCTGCAGTAAAATTAGCTCATTATCATGCAATATAACTTCCTGTTTACGCCACAGTCGCTATTCTTTCACCCAGAATGCACTGTGTTATGGGTTATTGAGAATTGAATGCCACTTGTGTAAACGTTCCTCTCTCATTAATCCTCAGTTGGGATTTCAGCCCTCGGATGAATTTTGGCACATAAGATCACAGACACAAAAAAAAAACACATTCCTCAAGTCACAGTCAAAGACATTGAGTGATTTTTCCAATATATTTCAGTTATTCAACTCTTCTAATATCACCATTTTTAATTCATTCTCTTTTATTAAAAAACCTTCTTGTTCTAGCTACCAGGCAGTCATTACATTAAAATCCATGCTTCTCAAATTTAATTTGACTTGATGAAAAACGATCCTGCATTTTTCAAATCTGAGATTTTCAGCTTAAACAGGGAATTACATTTTTAGCTAACGGTGTTTTTTTTTTTTACAGCGATCCTCAAACTACACGACGCTCTGAGTTAAAGAGTTAATGAGTTAAAGATAACGACGTGAATGTGCCACAGTAAAATGACAGACTTTGAAAAAAGTGGTTTTCAGTTTTCATATGATCGGATTTTTCAAGATGTTTTAAAGGAGACGGATGTGAATGAGCTCCTCTCCTCCACAGAAAACCCTGAAGCTCCTGAAACAGCTCGTCAGAAGTCCGGCCGACACTTCCGGGGGAATTGTGATGTGACGTCACGATTCACTATATTTGCATAATATTTGCCTCGTGGCTTCTCTGACGAAATCAGGTACACGTGCTGAAAGAGGCTGACCAATCACAACAGGGTGGACGGGCTGGCCAATCAGAGCAGACTGGGCTTTATCAAGAGGCGGGCCTTACAGAGACAGAGAAACCGAGTGTTTGAGACAGAGGCTGAAAAGAGGAGCTGCAGCGATGGACACGTCTCCTTTAAATCATCTTGATGCTGCTAACTTTTTCTTTTCCCCCTGGACAAAAGCACGTAACTTAATTTGCCTCGTCAAATCTCACCGCAGTGAAAACCACTGGCTTGTCATTTTCCACAGTTTGTACAGAGCGACTAAAAAACAGCAACGACTGGATGTTGTGGTGATTATTGCTAATTTGTCTGGAAATAGATTTAATATCCCTGCAACACTGCTACTGGCAAAACAGAGTCAAATACTCCAAATTGTACGGTTTGATTTCAAGTTGATGAGCGTGAGAGACTTTTTCGTCTGAAATATTGCCTCGAAGTTAAAACACAAAAATTACTTAGCAAAATATCTGTCTCTTTTTTTTTTTTCTTTCTTTCTTGTTTTTCGACCTCGTGTTCAAACTTTCACTTTATGTCTGTGAAAGGAAAATAAGCCAAAAAATGAAAATTCAGACACTGTTGTAAAACATCTGACTTAAATTGCTACATATCTATGTTTTCCATTGGTTCTAAACCCAAAGTACAGTTAAAAGTTTCTCCTCTCTCTGTGTAGCATTTAGCTCATGCTCAGCCTCATCGGTTTGTCTGCTAATTACTAAGACGTTTTATCAGTCATGCGGATGCTAACAGCTAATGCTACAAGCTTACGGTTACCTAGCAATGCTATCCTTTCCCTCCCTCTGGGTTTTTAACATAAATCAACTAAGTCCTTATAGATTAACTTTGGCTGACTCCAAAGGTCACTAACAACCGTAGAATTCACTCATTATAAATGAATCGTAAAGTGCCCAAATTAAATACATATATACTGATATTCAACAAACTATAAATGTCTCTACGTTGTGCACATTGTGTTCCCTTTAAATTCCTATTTTTGTGTCCTTGTTTCTGAAATCGGTGAAACCTGACATGGGTCCAGACAGATCCTTTGTTCGGATGATGCAAAGAACATTTCATGCTTCCTCTTCCTCCCTCTCTCTCCCCTCACTCCGCTCTGAGTCGTAGCACGGTTAATCACCATGTGCCTTCGCCGTCTGTGGATTAGGGCTGTAATTTAGAATGAAAGGGCTGCTTCCCCGCACAGCTCTGAATACTGCGCTCACGTGGTTGTTTCTGTTCCTTCCTCGTGATGGCACATGCCGCTAGGTAAGTGAAGAAGAGGAGGGAAGAAGAAGACACTCGCTGGTTGAGATTGGCACAGTAGCACCTGTTTTTTTTTTTTAAATAATCGTTAACCAAAGCCTTTTTATTTTTGAAAGAGGGAGGAGGAATGTTAAAAATCTACTTCTAGAGTTGTAGCTAATTGAAAAGCGTTTCAAACTACAGTTGAACTGGGATATACAGCGAGTTTTCAGCCCCAGGCCACTATCCTCCAGGCTGTCGGATACAACCGCGACATCCTGCGTCAGAGCTGCATTATGGGTAGAATACTGCCCCCTGCATTTGTAGTAACCTGCACAACCAAGTGGAGTTGAGTGCCCATCTAAACCTGGATGGTTCTTTAGTAAGATTGTATAAAGACAGTCTCACAGATCTGTGGTAAGATCTTTTGAATTGTAATTTTAATCAAATAATCTATTAAATCACCAGATATTTGAATTTGTTGTGGAGTGTTTCCACGTTGGGCTTCAGTTAATTTGCACGTGAGAAAAAAAAAAAGGTTGTGGGTGAAATAAATTGTCTGGGAAGACAAACGCTTTTATATTTATTTTAGCATTTCAATTAATCAGAATTGGCTCAAACAGAATCACCTGCTGAAGTGGTTGAGACGATCAGATTATACATTTGACGAACCACCAGGTTGAACAGGGTCTTGAGTCACAATTTCTTCCACAGGGTTTGTTTTAATTCCTACCAAACGAAACACTGGCTGATTTGACTTAAGGCTCATTTATGCTGCATTTATGTTTGAAAAGAGAAGAATCCCTCTTAAACAATGAAACTGTCACTGTGGGCTTGAACAAAGTGGTCTTTGCTCTTTCGTCCACTTTCTCTTCACTATTGTCCAACTTCCAATCCAATCTCCTCCTGTGCCTGAAGTTTCTAAGTAACTCGCAAAGGCTCTCCTCAGAAAATTCTGCTTTTTGTTGAAATTCCATCCTCGTATCCCATGGTCCTCTTGCTTGCTACACTGCCCCTTGTGTTCTCTGGTGGTACTGCTCTGTTTAGTCTGTTTCCATATCTAATGTTGAGTATAAATGAGCCTTTAAAAGTGCCCAACCCCCCAAAAACAACTGTTATCAGTAAAATCAGCTGTCTTCATCGTTTGCAATGAAAACGTACAGCCCCTTCGATCATTATGGCACATGGTCTTTGGGAACTCAGAACTTGCTTTTTGAACTGAATTGATCCACCAAGGAACCAATTTAACAGCTGGCAGTGCAGGTAGAAAGCATTTTACTACAGTGCTAACAAACTGGGAGGATAGAAAACCAGCAGAACACCGGAGGGCCAAATGTCTGACAGAAAAAATACGAAAAACAGCTCAAGTCATTGTGTTGGAAACCAAGATGTCTCGCTTGGTTACAACAAATAAGTCTAATTCTTCTCTGAAAGTCTTCCGTAGTTCTGCTGCGCACAGATGCATTCACGTACAACCTGTCGACCCCATGCTCCTGCAAACTGGGAGGCTGAGGTGTCTCAAACAATCTGAGGACAGTCTCCCGCTTTTTTCCAGACTTGTGGATGGACAGAAAACACTCAGGGGCCCTCCAGCCCCTTAATGAGGACACCGAAAGACAACAAGCAGTCCTGGGAGTGAGAATCAAAGGTAGCTCTGAAGAAGGCGCGTAGCTGAAGCGAAGCTGAGCCCGCAGTGTATCGTGGTCCCAATAGGATGTGATCAATGTCGGCAACTGAGCCCCTCTTTGAAGTATCCTCATTAAGTAGCTTTTTTTTTTGTTTCTTCGTCAAAGAGATCTGAGGAGAGCAAAAAGTTCTGGTAAGTCTGAGGGGCGATCCGTTGCAACAACAAAAGAAATGAGCCTCCCACGAGTCTCTGGAAAACAGTCTGATACAATATCAAAAGAAATACAGCGCATTTCCAGTCAGAGCCAGAATTACCTACTGATTTGTAAAATAATTTCCAGAGGAGGGGAGTGATTGATTCCCTGGCGTGGTTGGACTTGTCGAAGTGCCTTTGTGTAAGATACTGAACACCAACCCACTCCAGGGGCAGTTCCCCCTCGTTGACCCTGGCGCAGGTCGACAGGCTGTATAAAAATGTGTCCAAACAGCAAGAGCGTCTCGCAACAACAAAAATGAATTTCTCTGCGTGAGTCTTAGGATCGCTCACAGCACGGCCCGATGGTGCTCTCCAGGGACATCTGGGAGGAGTGGCGAATAAGTGGCGCCATTGTTGGGTCCACCATGGAGGAGGTAGGGAAGAGCTTGTACCAGCCAATCACCATCGTGCTCAGGTCCAGCTCCTCCAACAGGATTCGAGCTACACCCATGAAGCATTTGCGGTCCATTCGTCCATAGTTGCCCCAAACAATCACCTGTGAGAGAAAGTACCAAGACAAAGGTTCATTTTCCGTGTCACACAGATACACCAGGCAGTAAACCTGCAGTGTTTATAATACATTCCTTCATTACACCTGTATTAATATCACATTATCTAAAAGCTCAGTCTGCTAAATATTCTTTACAGGACTTAAATCTGGAGTGTGTTCTGAAGCAGGAGTGGATCTCTGCGTTAGAGCAGCACAGAGCAGAGAGATGTCAGAGGGTAAATGAAGAGGGATTGTGTGTGTTTGTGTTATAATGCTCATGTGTACCTGGAGACCTGTGTGAGTCTGTACGCCAGGTGTCCTCTGTCTCCTGACACCCTGATAGCATCGGGGCTCGATCTGAGACGGACCCACATCTTGTCAACCAGTGGACAAAATAATCAATATCAGTCCGCGCGTGTCCTCTCACATGGAGGTCTTGTGTGTCCATGCATGCCAGCATGCCAATTTCTTTGTTGTTGTGTGTCTGTGTGTGCATCTGTGATTTCCACAGAGACTCAGAGGCCAAATCTGCTTCAATCTATTCCCTCCATCCATAAAGAGGGAGAATCTTTCTCTCTCTCTCTCTCTGTCGGTCTGTTCAGTTCAATCCGAACAAGGCCCTGACCCCCACCACTATTACTAGAGAGAGGGATGAGGAACTGGTGGGGTGTTAAATGTGGAAGATGAAAAATACAGTTCTACTCTCTGGGAATTAGAAGAAATCTAAAAATACATACTGCAGTTGCGGACGGAAAGACAAAACCTGATGTATTTTGAAAACTGCATGATGCATTGAAGTGAGGATAAGCGAGAACAGAGAGGTGATGGATTCAGGGAAAGACAGAGCGGACAGCCACTCCAGAGAGTGCACCACATTTGCACATCTGTGGAAAACACACAATAATAGCGCAGCGCTCGTCGTAAACATGGATGTTTTCCCTGCGTCGGTGGTGATGCTGGCTGCAGCGTTTTTCGAGAATCGCTCATAGAAACAACTTCTTACATGACACAGAAACAATTTCACGAGGATTAACAACAGTTTAAGCCTTTTTTTTTTTTCGTGGAGGATGGTGCGGCGGCATTATGTTACCATAGCGGCTGCAAGGAACATTAAAACAAACCTGTTCTAAGTGACTGTGATGAACAGAAGTGTGTTCCTCCTGTAGATAAACCTGATGTGATGCCCTGATAAGACACTTTCACTGTAAAATACTCCCACACACATCAGGTCTGTGTTTCTGGAGGAATCATGCTTGGACCCATCCGTGTTTTGGTTTGGAGCAGGTGCAGGTGCAGCCATCTTTGCGATGCGATCCCAGTCCCTGTTGCTACAGAGAGCTGTTTGCACATTTACTCAAAATGAATAATCTCTTGACCCTGGAGCAAAACTACCGAGGTTGAGGCAGCCTGGATGAGCAGTTCTTTGAATGGAGAGTGATTTCTAGTAAGAGGATCAAAAGTACTTTGGCATATGTTTGGACGAGGTCACTTTGTTCTATGAAGAAGATTCTTGGTGTCACAGTGTACGATGATATTCTAGATACAGTGACAGTGGTTATTCAACCTTTGAGCAGCAGTTTGGTGAAGGTATAACAGGACACGTCTACAGCAGAAACTTCTCGCTGGATAAACGAGACACATTTTCATAGAAATGCACTAAAACCAAGATCTGCAACATTTCGCAGGAGTGACAGAAACTTTTATTTCTGTTGACACTTTTATTGCCTGAATTCAAATCTTCTTTTTTGCAACAGTGGCTGTATTCTATGCAAATACATTATACGTGCACGTGACCAAACATGTGGGAAACAAAACAATGAAATAAAAGATTTCATCCAGTCTGACATTAAGGAGAGGAAATGAGATGATGGAGTGCAGAGCGGAGGAGAGGAGACGGACAGCTGATAATTAGAAAGGAGGTGTTTAGCAGCTAATTACTCACTAACAGCAGCCGAGCGGCCTCAGGCTGTTTTTAAGGCTTTTTTCACTGACGCCTTTAAAAACCCACAGGTCCGACCTCTGTCGCTATTAATCTGCTGCGGTATTTATTGTTTTTTATTGGGTGTAGTGTGAGAATACAGCTAGAACATTCACAGTTTGCGAGTGGGGGTGTTGACGATGTGTCTAAGATGCAAAGAATGGATGCAAAACTGGAGGAGAACAAATATCTCAGGATGAAAAAGAGCCAAACATGTAGTCAACTGCCTCACGTGCAGTGAATTAAAACCTGGTTTCCCCCACGTGTCGTGTGTCGGTGTTAAGCAAAGATTTTGAATGAACTTTCTGTGTTGAAGACTTCGGCGACGCTCGGCTCTGCAAAATCAGGAAGTGACAAATTGAAAAGCGCTGCTGATTTCAGCGATTTTCATTATGCAGCGTGAATGAGTTTGATGAAACTCCGAGGACAGCGACACAGACAGCGGATAATTAAGAGGGAGGCGTTTAGTGGCTAATTACACAGAGAAAGGATCAGCGGAGCAGCCTGAGGCAGAGGACGCTGCACCCAACCAGGAAACACAGCTTAAAACACACGTGTCGGGTGGAAATGAAACAGCAGTGTGACCGAATCCGAAGACGCACGCAGAGAAAACACATTTCAATTGTTGATTAAAATACACATTTTGATTTCACATAACACCACAGCTAAAAGAGAGGAAAAGAGAATAAATGGAAAAAGAATAAAGGTAAAGAACATGAAGTAGTCAAAGGAAGGAGAGGAGTGGGAACGCTCAGAATCTCTCATCATCATCATCATCCTCATCTTCATCTTTTGTGACATTTCAGATCGTGAGAGCAGCCGAAGTCTGAAAATCAGCTCCAACCGTCTGTCGGTCCCTCGGGTCAGATCCTCACTGTGAATGTTAAACTCTCCAGCTGCGTTCTGCCGTCAGGAGGAGACGCAGGATCCCGGTGGAATCTTTTCACAGTGAGGATCCGGAGGCGTTGGTTTGAGATCAGGTAACGACGGGTAAACGATCAAAACAAAGACTGTGAATAAAGATGGACGACACATCTCAGCCTCCTCAAACTGCACAGAAAATTAAGCCATTACCGATACGCTGATACACGCACTCGACCAATCGCGAGTCAGGCCAGCCACCAGGGGGCGATCAGGAATATTTGGCTTCACTTTGAGGAGCTGCCATGTCGTCCATCTTTATTTTCAGTCAAATGTTAGCATGCTACCACCACAAGCTAAGATGGTGAACAAAGCAAACGTATCTCCATCTTCTATGAAACATTTATTTCGGTTTGAGAAACAAACCTTGCCTCAGCTGACAGAGAAAGAGCTTCACTGTGGAGCTGTCGGTGTGTTTGTGTTGTGTGTTGTGAAACTGTGGTGTTGCATGTGTTGGTGTCTCACCTGCACCACTTTCCCCTGTGGACTCTCAGAGAAGACCAGGACCTGGTTGTAGAGAGGATCCAGACTCTTCCTCACAGACTTGGTCTTCTTCTTGGCCACACAGCTGCCGTTCTCCAGGAGGTAAACTTTGATGTAGGCCGCTGGAACCACACATGAGGGAAAAGTTCAGCTCAGGACTCTGCAGCTCCTTTTCAAACCAGCTGCACGAGATTCAGGGTTGAAACTTCTCCCGGAAATTCTGAAGCAAAATGGCTTTGGCCAAAAATCCCACACATTCTGTATCCACGCCCTCACACCACGTAGAATTACGCCACTTGGTCGGTCGCCTCCTGTTTGCCAGATCTGGGCTCCAAATAAGCCATTACAATACCGCATGTCGACCAATCGTGGGCGAAAGCAAAAATGTTCTGTGATACTTTGTTTATTCTATCAATTGACGAATGGAAACGTTAGCTGCAGAAACCTAAATTCTAAAATGTCTCACAGAGGAAAGTGGAAATCAGAAGTTTGAGGAAATGAATCAAAAGAACCAATCATCAGCTTCCCTGAAGTCTAGACGTCTGCCCACGAGGCTCCGGATTCTGCACCTCGAGGAGACGATAGCTTCTCTTCAAACGCTTTTTATTAACCTGCAATAAATTACTGCTGCTTCATTTTTCCATGCTGTTGTTTGATCAGCTGTCAGTCTGAGTGTTTTTGATTTTCACTGTTTCTGATCCACGCACTCATTAAATAGCTGTGAAGAAGAAATTACAGCTTACTAATTATAGTACAGTACACACACACACACACACACACACACACTCACACTCCGAAGCTCTTTGTCCTGCACGTTGCATAAGAAGATTAAAGATTAAACACACACGTTAAAATCTGGATCAAGGTTCTTCGTAGTCTTCGTGTTACCTGTAGTTTTTCTTTTCTTCCTCTTTTGTTTTTATCGTGTCTTTTCTTTCATCTCACATCTTTTAATCTCTCTCACATACTTTTTTTTATCAGATAAAGTTGTTTTGCTGATGTTGTTTTTTTCTTATGCAATTAGGATCAATGGATGGTTTTTACATTATGCAACCGCAGAGGGAGTTACAATCAGAGTTTTTTAGCTGTTGCTGTTACACAATCACAAATACAGTAGAATAAAGAAATGTAGAAACAGCAGCACAACAAAGAAAGTCTGTTTAAAGACAAACACACACATTATTTATTATTATTATTTTATACTTTTAACAGGCGTTTGTCTGTTTTATTGCTTTATTTGATCCGTTGTCTTGCATTAACTACATTTGTAATGACACTGCAGTTTAATCGTGTTTTTAATTTGATTAATGCTGGTTTTAATATCAGAATTATTACTACATTGATAAAAAGAATATATTCTATATTTATCGACAGAATAGTTATACAGAGTTTCAAACTGGATTTGGTCACAACTCAATAACTGCAGAATGAATTATGATCATTTCTCAGACAAATGTCTTGATATGATGATATCGATAATAATAATTAAAAACACTTTTATTATCTTCATATAAAATAGTTTGACGATGGGTCGACACTTAAAGACGACGTGCTGCGTGTTCGACTCCAGCAGTAACAGAAGAACGTGTAGTTCATAATAAATCAATGTAAACGATTACTTTGTGGAAACCTCCATTTTCAAAGACACGGTTGTTTAATAAACAGCAGCAAAGCAGCGTTTTTCAGGGAAAGACACACTTTGACCCTTGTGGTCCAGACTCACCGGGAGGTCCCTTGGAGCCTGGTTTCATGGTGAGTCCTCTGGCCTGGACGACCTCCACCTCCAGACCGCCGTTCCTCTCCATCAGCCCGATCTCGACGTCACCTGGACGGATGAAAACACGGGTAAAGAGGAGGTAAGTGTGTGTTTCAGTTCAACCGAATGCCTTTTGGATGATGTTGTATCAGTGTAGTGACAAAAATATTTAGTTTTCATCACTTTATTTATGTTAGAAAAGAAACGTTGCTCCATTTTGAGGAAATCCAGATTTAATTGATTTTCTTTTCCATCGGTGCAGTAAACACATGAATCTCCCTGAGCGACATCAAACAATAATCTCTTTTTGATTTGACTGCACCGCCACCGTCTTCAAGAGCAGGTGAACTTTTTCTCAAGAGTTGGTGGAGACCAAGAAATAAGTGGAGCTGCACCTCGACTAAATGAACATTGCTCTGTGTGTGTCTGCTCGACGCTTCAGTAATGAAGTGTTAGAGCTAACTTGTCCCTGGCATCAATGGATCATTGTGAAACCAAACTTTTCTTCATTCCGCCCACTGAAAGTCACAGTTTCAGCAAAATGTTCCCAAAATGACAAATGCATTCGTTTGAAAGTGACGGAGCGCAGATGACGGCCAAGTTATTCTGGGTTCTGTGACATTATGTAACGCTGGACTGGACAGCAGGTTTGGAGCGGAGCTGGTCCAGTCAGTGTCACTGTTGTCGGGCCAAGGACAGAGTCCGACTGCCAGAGAGGAACCTGACCCACTTACAGTAAATCACTGCTGCATACATCCAGTATATATAACCTGGAAATGAATAAATGCAGGAGGCGACGAGGAGGAACTCTGCAGCAGGACACAGCTGGGAGTGATCAGGCACTTTGAACTGAGAACTTTTAACGTAGCTGCAGGTGTTGATCCACAAAACTTGATAATGTACAGAGATGAATAAGAAAAGGCAAGAATCCGTCGTCGATCCCTACCCGGACCAGACAGGCCTTCTGTTTTTTACTGTCAGACCCTGTGCATCGTAAAAGTCACTTGAACCTGAATCTGAATATCATATCTACATTTGACTGGACGGGGTTCCGAAGGATGTTTCTGGAGTTCATGTATGAAAACCGGCTTATGTTTGCAATTTTCTTTTCCCAGGAACTAATCGTAGAATCTGCTTCAGACTTGGCCGGCGTGTTGCTCGGGAAGTGCAGCGGTGCGTTCGGTGCGTTCAGACATGTGACACATTCAATATCAACACATTTTGAAAAAACAGGCGGCCGGCGCTCTGCGGCTGCCGGGGCTCGGACTCATCGACGTAAGTGGCTCCATCGATCACAATCACATTCTCGATGACTTCACGTTTTGGCTGCATCCGGTCCAAAGCAGCAAATCCGTGAACAAGCCGCTTCTAGAAAAACCTCAACCTCCGGCGTCTAAACTTTGACGCAGAGTCCCGACAATGTGTCATCACAGCTTCAGCAGATCCCTGAATTTCCCTCTGGATCAATAAAGCATTTATCTCACGGCTCCACACGAGCGCTTGAGGTGACAGCACATCTGTTTACTCTGTTAATACGTGAAATCTGTTTCTGTTGGAAACTCCAACGTTTAATTTGCATCGTTGCATTGATGAACATCTGTGTGAGAGTGTTTTTTTGGACAAAGTTCCAACATTGTGGTTTTCTGTAAACTTTCCATCTTTAATCAACATCGTTTATCCTCCAGGGTCACAGGGGGAGCTGCTGCCAATCCAAGCTGATATTAGCGACAGGCGGGATACACCCCCATGTTCACTGACCGCAGGATTTGAGCTTAAAGCTTCTCTCTGTCAAGGAAAGAAAAGGGACGTCCTCTCTCACCCATGGAGGTCGTCGCCAGCGTCTGTCGCCCGACAAACTGGGCGGGTCCCATCCCGTCCAGGAAGTCACTGAACTGGGCATCAGATGCCAGACACATGCCGCTGTAGTTCAGACTGCAGAGACAAAGAGACAGAGAGTTAGAGACGACCGGGACACGCAGGTCTCGTTGTTCTGCAGTCAGACAGAGACAGTGACTCAGAGACAGAGGACGACGACAGAGAAATGAAAGAAGTCAGGAAGAAACAAGAAGAACAGAAAAGACAAAGAGACTGAGGTTAACTAAACTCTGACGCAGCCGTGTGCTTAGTTTGTGTCTGTTTGTGTGAAGTTGTGTGTCTTTGCATGTGTTTGTGTTTCCTAGTCTTGTGTGTTTTTGTGTCTGTTTGATTTTGCAGGTTATTGTGTGTGTGTGTGTGTGTGTTTGTTTGCGTGTTTGTGTGTGTGCATAGGAATCTGCTCAGAGTGCTTTGGTGGCAGACTGCCAGGTTCACGACAACTCTGTGTGCACGCATGTGTGTGTGTGTTTCACAACAGTTAAAGGACATATCCTCCTTTATATGTGATGATGCTGGAGTGTAGCATCACTCTCTGATTCCCATCATGCATCTGACCAGGGACGAGTGACCAGTATCTGTTTATGTGTGATCATCAGTTTGTAAGATTTAGCTGAACAGAAAAAATTAAAAATGAGTGTGTTTCATCTAAATTGCACAAATTGTTGTTTTCTCTCACCTAGAATGAGCCCTTTATATTTTAAATACTTTAATATACTGTTTATTTATTATCGTCATGGCGATCGCGGTGTCACCAAGTTGCAACGCAGCAAACTCCGGCTCCAAATGGCGTCAAAATTCCAAGATGGCGGCACCTTATCCTGACACTTGTCCGGCCACGCTGACGTCCCAGAACTACTGAAATGTATAAATGTTACTCTGGTGTATTTGTTCAGTATTTCATCCGAGTAGCTTCACGTGATTGATCGTGTGGTCGGGGTGAGCAGAAAAGACCCGGAGCAGATCAGTGAGTCATGTCCTCCTCGCACTTTCTCTCCCGTGTTCTCCTCAATCTCTCATTTTTCCCCTTTCTCTCGTCCTCTGGTGACTTTTTTCCTCACGAGAATCTCTGTGTCTTTTCTTCTCCCTCTCTTTAACCCTTGTCTTTCTCCGCCTCGTTCCCACTTTCATTTCACATTTTGGGTTTTACGTTGCTCTGATTCGAGTGCTGCACATTTAAGAAAACAGGTGTATCATTATTTTCTTAAACTCAACAGTTCCTTCACCATGACGATAAACCTAAATTCATCCAAAGCCTTTGTCTTCAATATTAAATGACGGGAAAAAGGGCGTTAAAATATTTACTGGATTGTTCCAGAAAACAATGTCTCACGGGCCGACATTTAATACGAACGTCAGAATGAGCGGCTCAGAGGAGATCAGGCGGCTCCGTCCTGTGTGATTAACACAAAATATCACTTAGCAAACATTAGTCACTCAAGCAGATATCAGCAAACATTAAATGATCACAGGTCATTTTAAATAATTCATATTCCCTCACTCTGCTGAAGTCTCGTTAAACATCGTATTATCTGTTAGGTTTTGTGTTTTCATGCGATCACGTAGAAAGTGAAGTGAAGTGCCCGACACCTGTATTCTCTCAAATGACCAGCAGTGGGCGACTCCACTGGTTTTAGAAGTCAGTTACTATAGAAGTCTCTGAGTACGTGACTCCTCTTCTCACCTGATTTATAAAGTGAGTATAAACTTGGCGGCGCACAAACCAATGGGTTGGGTCAAACAGTGTGTTGCAAGTTCGTATTGTTATGCGCACGTGTTTACTAGTACACGCAATTACTACATTTACATTTTAGATCCAGAGAAATTGCAATAAGATAAAAAACCTTTGTGTGTGTGTGTGTGTGGAGGCAAAGAGCGGTGACATGCGATAAATCAGGCGACATTAGCCGAGGAGTGGGTATTACTGGGTGATAAAATCCTGAGCTTTAGATTATAGTGTTGGTGTGTGAAGCACATCTGGGGATTATGCTGCTGTTTCCCAGAAATATGATGCTGGATGTAAACTGTGCTGGAGGCCGGTCACACCCGGGATAAATACATTATTCACTGTCGGTGATTATTTTCCTGATGCGCTGCAGCTCCGAAAGACAAAACCTTTTTATAATCACAGATGATCAAGTTTTTGCAAAATGAATGTAAGGGAGAAACTTTGGAGGCAACGATGGAGAGGTTGTGATGTTCGGATGATCGGGACCTATGAAAAATAAATGTCAGCTTTGCGAGAGTTGATTTATTAGCATGCTTCGGTATTTAAAACTGAGCCGGGTTAAAATATCTGCAACCAACACAAGGCAAGTCGTCATCAGTTCATCAGATCTGCTTCCATAAAGGTTAATTTATGCTCAACGTTAGATACGCAAGCGGACGGAGCCTTCTGTCTGTTATCGTGATCATCTTTTTGAAAACGTCGGATGAAACAGACGAAATAGAGTGGTACCGCCTGAAATCATGGGGGGGGGGGGCAGAGTAGCCAACAGTTCAAGTGATACGACCACAGGACACGAGAAACAAATGTCAACAATGGGAGAACTTTTGGAGGAGAGACTTTTTCGAGTTGGTATTTTGGACCATGGCCGTTTACAGCCTGGCCACCTCAGAAAAGTTCAACTCTAGCGCTGCCCTCTAGTGGATGTTTTTCTTATCGGCCCTGCCAACGTAAAGGACAAATGAGGGCAGTGACATCGATGAAATGGACGGACGTCTTTTTGTTCGTAAAGGCGACGTTAACGAGCAGTGAGACTCTGCTGTCTCTTTGTTTGTGTTTAATTGGGACTTTTGGAACTTTTGGTTTAGTTTTTGAACTTCCTGTTTTACTTTGTGGTTCTGATGCGTCTCTCTCTTCTGCTTCACCTCTGGAGGAGCCTTCGGCAGCCTCGGTCACTCTGTCGGTTCAGTTTTCTGTTTCCAGGTGTTTTATAAATGCAGGAGTGTGTTATTCCAACAAAGCTGCCAGAAACAGCGAGAAGACAAGTCATGATTTAACATCTCATGATTACTGAGAGAATGAAACTGAACAATAGGCAGTTTTGAGTCATTAAGTTCCAACATGGCGGCTAAAAGCTTAATTAATCACCCCCATCAGCACACACACACACACACACACACACACACACACACACTGGCCATGAATCAATAAGTTCATAAGTGTGATTGGATGGTTTTCGTTTACAAAGTGCTTCTTCGTGCACGAGCAGGCACAGCTAGGAGCTTTTCAATCGGTGCACGGAGCCGAACAGCTGATGGAAACGTGGACGGACGAGGAGCTGCGGCTGTGCTTTCATTTCACTAGTTTCCCTCCATGACGTCAGGAGGAGCGTACACACAAGCAGAAGTTTACTTGCAGAGAAAATAATCGTTATGATTTTATGAGGATTGAAAGGGATTCAAAGACGCCGGCCTCCTAATATTTCAACTGCTCACACACACAACTCATGTTTTAGTTGCTACAGGTGATGATTGTGCAACAATATTTTTAGTTTCAACAATCTGGCGCCCGGCAAATACGACATTAAACAGCGTTTCTTGAATCCGTACTCCAGACAGCATCGTGGTTCGTTTATTCTTTCAGCTGCAAATTAGCAGAAATGTTGGAATGCAGACAGAAGCGTTTCAATAAACTCTGAGAGAAAACGCAGATTATTATTCTTCATCTCTACGTCTCCTCGTATCTGTCGTTCTGATGCCTCCTCGTTATTTTTTGGGACTTTCTAAAAATGAATCTAAATGAAAAGTGATTGAAACTTTATATAACTTATTTCCACACCACTAGACTTCGACAACCGGGGCCTGTAGCACGGAGCAGGGTTCCCGGTTATCGGGATAACTTCAGGTTTGTTAGGTTGAGTCAAGCCGGACATCAGAAGGTAATCCTGGGTATCTCACCTCATTACACAGGATGTATAGTTCCTGCTTGAGATCACATCAGTCATCGCTGCCATGTTCACCATTATTTGGGAAACAAACTGAACCAGATCTTCTCGCAGCATAAACGGAATATTTACATTTTCCCCAAAATAAACGGACTATTAATATTCATGCAGACGCATTCGATGATGCAATCACCCTCTCTGAGTTTCCACCTCTCCTCTTGTTTTCCTCCCGTCACTGTTTGTCTTTGAACGCTCCTCCCAGCCCCCATCGCTCTGTCCGTCGGCCGTGTCTTGTTACGCAACTGCAGGAATTCAAGCTGGTCGCCAGGTTGGCACTGATCTGCATGTGGCCGTGTGTGTGTGTGTGTGCGCGCTCGTGTGTGTGTGTGTGTGTGTGTGTGTGTGTGTGTGTGTGTCAACCATAATCCGAACCCCTGCTGACTGCTTCTTTTAGACGACAGAAACAAACAGGCAGGGGCCATTTACGTCTCGGTGATGCAAATTAAATGGAAATGAAAAGCTCGAGGGCAGTTTCAGAGAGAAAAACCTTCATCGATACTAAACAATCCTGCAGATCGATTCTGCACCGAAACGCTTTCTGTCATTTTACAATTACACACAATTTATTTTTACGTTGGAAAACAAACTAAGACAATTTCTGTCCTCACAAACTGGCTCTGTATCAATTTGAGTCCCTGTCCACACAAACATGATTAAAAACACATATCACGTGACCACTCATGAGGTCCCGCTGGACATACGGTAGTTTTGTTTCCAGTACTGGTACTTTTAGATTCTGGAGCCAGAACCGATGTTTTTATCTTTTTAAAAAAAAAAAGCACAAAACAACAGTAGAGCAGCTTTTTTTGTTGCCAAGGCCGGAACCAGTCGGAACCAGATTTAGTTGGAATCAAAGTTGTGTTCGTGTGGATTTTGTTTACTCACTTGCCCTCGGAGCCGTAGCTGTTCATGCTGTCCTCTATGGACTCGTGACTGGCCTGACGGACCGTCCGACTCGGCATCTCGACAGCCAGACCTGTCTCCGTGCTCCTCTGGATGGTTCCCTTCAACTTCCTGCCCTCTGTGTCCACTGTGGGAGAACCAAACACAAGCACATACTGAGTCCGGCTGCAGAACAGAAGCACTTTACTTCAGAGAAAGAAAACAGTACTGTCCTTGAAATGATTGTGAACGTCTGGGTTTGAGGGGAATTTATAGTTGTTTTAGGATCATTACCTCCGTCAGCAAGATTAGGTTTTCATTGCAGTTTGTCTGTCATCAGAATTACTATAAAGCAAATTTTATGGGGGAGGCATGACCCACGGAACATGGGGCCTCGTTTCACTGCATCCCGCCCTCGTTCCTGTTGTGTTGTAACTGTTAATGTGTTTTTCCTGCCGTGACCTCATAAGTGTCAGAGAAGGACGAGCACGGTGATGAGAAATCACTTCAACAAGGCCTCGATTTCCTCCTCAGAGCAAAGACATACATCTTATTGCAGAATAGACCACGAGATCGATGCACGGTGTCCTCTGTGTGTGTGTGTGTGTGTGTGTGTGTGTGTGCGCTGATGGAGGTTAGGTTTATAATGAAGTGCTCTTACAGGAGGTCTCTGACCTTGTTTTTAGAACAAGTCAGGGAAGTTGTTTTCCTTTAATAGTGAGGACACACACACACACACTCATAATCTCTCTCACACACACACACACACACACAATCGCGTTTTCATGACTTCATTGACCTGCAATCATTTTCCAGAGATTTACTGTAACCTTGAGCATAAGAACTACTAAACCTACCCCTTGTCCTGATAATAATCTAAACCTGCCGCTAACCTTAACCTTAACGTCAACTTAAACCTAAACTGAACCCTAAATTTATTGACATCATGGTTAAGTCCCCACAAGTTGTGAAACACACACAGACACACACAGTACTGAGACCATGTGACACTGTTTTCTTTAAAAAGGTCGTGCGTTCATTTTCTTTTACTCTGACTTTTCTGACTACAGATAAAATCGATTAATTAAAATCCATATTTCTGCTCCTCCCTCCTCGGCCTCCAGCTCCTGATCGATTCCAGACGATGTCGAACCGTCTCTTTCTCCTCAGACAGTTTCAATCACCTTAATGGAAAGAAAATCGCTGGCACACACACTCACACACATAGATACGTACAAATCATGGAGTTGGTTCTGCAGTTATTAAAGTGCGACCTAGAACGATTTCTATTTCCATCGTGCTCACGTGGGACGGGCTGTTGGCAGATCTGGGTTAAAGCTCCTGTTCCCTGACTGGTTCTGTACGATTAGTGATCTCCTGAGCAGAGCTGTCATTCAGCTGCTGTCAGGACGACCCGGCACAAAGGTCAATATAACCTGGAAGTTTGAGAACTACAGTTACTGTATATTAGTATTTCAGGAAATAATAATTCCACTTCAATCTTCTCTGTTTTTTAAAGCACTGTCAGTTAGTTTTCCCTCCGTCTGCTTGTGGTTTTCATTTCTTTAAAAGTCTTTCGCTCCAGTTGTCGATTTGTTAAGATATTTAACGGCAGAGGCAGACGCACACATTAGTCCTTCAGCAGAATTGAACCAGAGACACATATTCATTCATGGAATCTGTTTAAAAAGATTAACGAGCTGTTAATGAGCAAGTCACAGGTTTACGTTTCCAATTCTTTCACAAGGTCGTAATGATACGAACCTGCATTTCCATTTTTCGTTTCAAACATGCTCTCGACGTTATCGCCCAGCCTGATTTACTGCGAGTTGTAGAGGCGTAAGCCTAAAGCTCAAGATTACAAGTGGCAGAAATTAGGTCAGAATGAAGTTTTAATGCTCGTGTGACCTGACGAGCAACCTGAACAGCCACATGCAGACCCCTGGAGTTGTAAAATAAACTTCCTAATCCTAATCTTGCCCCACATCTGGATTTACCAGCCACCAAATCTGCTTTGCTCGCAGCCGGATGTGCACCATTGTGCTGAGACGCAGTCACGAGTCACGCTAGTCTTTACCAACACACACACAGACAGTGTGTTACTCTCCTGACATGAAACAGCAATTCAGAAACACAGTCGGGGATTTCTTTACCTAACACAAGTTCAGTTCTGATCTCCACAGTATCACAGTCCGTGAAGGCATGAACACAAAAACATATTCATTTATTTCCACGCTCGTTATATTAGCCTGCTCTTTAACGTGCCATAACTGACCCCTCTTTGTAATTTGTTGTTTATTTTGATTTGAAATATTTCTTTCTGTTTTGTTTTGCTGAATATCTGCATTTATGATGATCCGTCCATATCTCTGCACGTCTGTCTCTATTCCTGTGTTCTGCTTTGCCTCATAAAAAAACACTTCAGTCTCACATGCAACTGTTCTATTAACTATATCAATTCCTCCTTCACAGAAATCACTCAGTATCACGTGATAGCAGACGTCCACAATTCCTCAGCAACCATTAAAGTTTTGCATTTGTGTGCAAAGTAAAAGTAACTGTAAGTGTGTTGTTGCTTTAATGCATTGTGTTCATTTACAGAATCATGTGGACGTCCTCTCTTCTGCAGAAGCTGACTACGTATTTAATTCTTTCAGACAATGTTGTTGCTGTTTGCACAAACACCGCCTCATACAGTACTACACAGTATCTGTACATCTGTCCGAATCCTGTGTCTACTTGATAACGTGCTCCTTTAAAAACACTAGTGTCCACGACAGGGGTCCTACTTTGTAATGATGGCGCCACAACGCAACGCTGCATATTTTATTGGGAGTAATGAGTGAACGAGGGAATGATTCCGGACACAGCTTGTGTCATTAGCTGTGACAAAGATAAAGACACAGCTGCCATGGACAATGGTGTGGTTACCACGGAGACCATAGTGGAAGCCGAGCCTGTAGTGAGAACGCACAGCAGCATGTAATTTTCTATTTCCGTGTGTGTGTGTGTACTTGTACTTCCAGATACTTCGCCCTTATAGATTTTGGCCAGTTCTCACTTTACGGGTTAAGACTTGGTTTGTGTGTGTGTGTGTGTGTGTGTGTGTGTGTGTGTGTGTGTGTGTGTGTGTGTGTGTATGTGTGTGTCCTCATCATTTCACCCATGATGAGGACTTGTGTTTCTTATGGGGACAAAGATTAACAACAATGTTTATTGTCCACACAAGGAAATTGTTTGCAGCCAAGATGTACACAGACACACATTTACAGACACACAACACCGACACACTTATCAACATGACATGAGGCACCAGTAATTGGATATAACAATTAATTCGGCATCAAGGTAAAAGTGGAGAAGTCAATTAAACAGTGTAAGTAAATGAAATTAAAACAATCAAATTGCACGAACAAATTACAGGCAACATTTACTAAAATGGAAATAATGACATTTATAAGTGAAAACTAAAGGTTTATAGTTTGGTTTAGGTCAATGTAATGTCCACTGTGTGTGTGTGTGTGTGTGTGTGTGTGTGTGTGTGTGTGTGTGTGTGCGGCCTCCTGTCACCTCTCGTCACTGGTGTTGCACTGATTCAGGGCAGAGTTACATAACTAATACAGCAGGTGGATAATGGCGGGAGACACATCAACCACTCTGTTCCGCTGCGACCCTTCCATGCCGCTGACGGGATATTATCTCGGTTCAATTCAATCCAATTCAACATGGTTTATCTGTTGCAGAGTGAAAGGCAATCTTGCCAGGCAATCAGGATAAAAGATTTAAATTTAGCAGATTGGCAGCTTTTCTTATTTACGATATTTCTGCACCGATTCTCTTCATCCCCGACACTTTCCACACAACATGAGGCCCGTGGTGGCTTCTCCGCTCCCCTGTCTGAGTGCATCTCTCTTCTTTTAGCTGCTCTCAACATCTAGTATTATGCCCTGTTCACACGAACGCAGATATTTTGCAAATACAGTTCCCTCTTATCCACACGGAAACAACTTTTTAAGTTTGCCGCTAAATATAGCATCACTGCACCACATCGCCGACATTCGCAGGCATCTCCCTGACCCAGTAATCCTTGGACCACAGCGTTATCCGCTGGTATTTGCCGAATCATTAATAATTTTGAAAATTTACAGTGGATGGAGATGTTTTACTAAAATAAAAGGGGGAAACATCCACAGCATGACAGGTCCTCAGTCGCTCTGCCGGTTAAGTCTCAAATAAAAACCTGAAAGTTACCATCTGCTTGGAAGGCCACACCAGAACACCCTTTCCCTCTGTGAGCAGCTGTTTATCTGTTTCCAGGTTCAGGTCTTCAGTCTGGTCCAGTCACATGAAATCTGTCAGCCAGTGTCAGCAGCCACATGAATCAGACGTTAACATCCACTTTCACGACCTGGTTTCTCCCCTTTTTTTTTTTTTAAACCTATCTATGTCAGCGAGTCCCCAAAAAGTATCTGATGTGACGCACAAAAAGTTGTGATGTGGCAATCAGAGAGCGGGGACTCATTAGTTTGTCTCCCAGCAGAGAAGCATTAATGAAAGCAGAACAGATACAGAAATAGCTGCTCCCCATTCAGCCAACACACTGACTGACAGACAGGGAGGCTGTAACGAGGTGGGCTGCACCTTGTGGCCTAGTAAATGACTCAGTGCAAATTTAGACCTCTGAAGAAAAATACCACAAACAGCCAATGGCTTCGAGCAGCCATTTTTTCCAAGAGAATGTTTGCGGGCTACACTTTGTTAGTGGTTAGTGAGTTGGGTAGTTATTAAAGTTTATAATATTAGGTTGTCATCTACGATAATATAGAAGATAAGGTAACTAAAAACAAAGGCGTAGGAACAACTTGTAGGTTTTAACAACATGATCAATTACTGTAATGATTTTGACAAGTCTTTACAACGCTCCAACTGCAGACATCAGCCGAAGCAAAAGTTGTGTGGATGTCACCGATGCATCGAACAGACTCTTTTTCCTTCTCTTTTGAAATCCTTTAGGAAGATTTGAAAACTCGGTGCTAGACTGAGTTTGTCACGGAAGCTAATGAAGACAGTCGGAGGACGCCTCCTCCTCTGGGTGAAAAAAAAAAAAAGGGAAGGAATAAAACATCACGATGCATTTGAGCTTGACCTAATTTCTCACACCCAGTCCAGGACAAAAAGAAGACGTCTCAGAATTCTTCTGCAGGTGAGATTCAGAGATCTCTCGACATTCATCTTCATTAAAGACCTGCTTGAGTTTCTGCTTTTCTGTAAAAATCTGTCATTTCTCCAAGCAGCAAGTTATCTCTCCACGTCTCGAACCGTTTACTGAAAACCTTCCCTTCCTAGAATCAAGCAACACGATGATGGAAACAAGGGCCAGGCGATACTGCATACGGGATGAATACGTGGTTACATAAAACAAAATAACTATAACGCAATGTACAGGGAGTAAAATTGCTCTGTCACCATCAGCCCATTCATTACAAACAGAGAGAAATTCTGGCGTAAGGTGTTTGTCAGAGCGAGACAGAGGAGCAAGAGGATCCTGGGAGGCACTAAAAGAGTTTCGCATTCATTTGAAAAATTACTTTCCCGTGGAGGTGCCACAGCCGGCGATGAGTGATGTCTGAGGCCGGAGATGAATAAGAAGCGGCTTTTTGAAACCTGGCACTGAAAGCGTTGCGGGGCCAGAAGATGGAGTCAGAGCTTAATTACTTTACGCGGCAACGTATGTTAATCAGAAATGCTATATGCCAAGAGGAAGCGGCGTACGGCAGCAGACCATTAGTGGCAAACCATTTCTGAGTGCTACAAGTCGAACAAAAAACAGAAGTAGGCAATACTACCCAGTGGCATAACTCGCATAGGATCTCATTTCCTGATACATCAGTTTCTTGTCGACCACAATGTAGAGCAAATATCCTGCACTCTCTCACTCAGAATGAGAGGTTATTGCTGTCCTCTCTGTAAGTTATTGGTTTTTAGTGAAATAAAAAGCCAAAGGGACTGAAACAAAACAGTGGAAGTGCTGGTCTTTGTATTCAAGACAGTGAATGCTGATTTTATGTTTTTAGTTAATTAAATGTTCTATTCACATCCCGAGACTGGAACAAAACAAAAGGTTGCTAATGGAATTGAAGCACCTGATGCTGGAGGACTTTAATATATTCATATTGGTTTGCAGACCTGAGGGTCTAGAAATATAAAGTCCCTCTACCACTGGACTCTTCTAAATTCCACCTGTAGTGTAACTGTGTTTTTATACCATCTAATAACTTTAAAACCAAACTTATCAGAAGCGATTAAGCTGCTGTCATATTGTCCAGAGTCTGTGCTCCCAGCTCTCCTGACATTTTACGCTATGTTGCTCTCACCGTCCGCCAAGAATTACGTTAAATATCTTGTAAAATAATCAACTGGAAAAACCGTGAGACTTTCAAAGGGAAATTAAATCTTAAATAACGGCGGCATAAATGTCACCGACTGATAAAAAAAACAAGGTTCATCATGTGGTTAGAAGGAATCGATTGAAAGCTGTTGACACTGTTGCTGTGCATGAACTGATTGATTTCACGTGTCACACGTTCTCCTCTCCCCTGCCGGTGGGAAAATTTCTCCTGAAAATTAAAGTGGATGTTTTCAGCTGTCTCGGCTCAGGGCGAACGGAGTGTCTCCACGACCTTTGGGAGAGTTATCGATCGGGCAATGCAGTCGCCAATTCTCCGGTTAAACCTTCGTATCGATGAAACATTTTCTGTGGTAAAAGTTCTCATTCATCATTGGTTTGTTAAT